TCCCTCAGCTGCAAAGAAACATATTTATTAATAGAGCTTTTCTCGTGCGAAAAATTGTTATGATCGATGTATTGATGGCGTGAAATATATCAAAATTTTTAGCTTGTTTCACTTGGTATGGCAATCTATTGCTACTTAACACAGACCACTCCGTATAACATCCTAGCTGCAGCAGGACAAACTTGGCAGATTTGAGAGAGAATTGCCCTTATCGTCAAAAATTGGCAATTGAAAGCTTAACATTGCAAAGAATATGCATTTCATAAATGAAATTGCATGCAAACATGGTCGTGTTACAATGTGTTCCAAACGCACCCCTATCTACTTCCGATTGCCGGAAGAGCTCCATGATGTATTTCTGCGATTTTTATTCTGGTAGCTGTGACCGCTTACCATAGTTGAATCTTATGACCATACCTAAATTTTAGTTCTTTGCTTTTCTAAATAGTGCACCTCACGATCTGTAGTAAAGCGACAGTGATATCGTGCGAATCCTTTCTATCAACATTGGGCATCTTTTGCGTCTGGGGTATCATTTTGAGGTGAAAATGTCTGCAAAAGAAAGCACGAACGCAGAAGGAGACAGTGCAACAAAAATAAACGAATGTAAAAAGAAAAAGGCCTACTGAGTTCTCCTGTTAGAGTAAAGCATATCCTAGTCCACTGAACCGTAGATGGGTCAGCTGCCTAATAAAGGCGGAAATTCCTAAATCTTCCCCATCCGTTGGATGGAGTACAATCAGGAATGCGAACACATACCTTTACGTCGTGATTAGATAATTTCTCAAGTGTTAGGTCTGCCAAATCCTATGTGGCCACCTCTGAGGTCGTAGTAATAACACACTTCTCATCAATCGTGCCAACGTGGACGCGCCTCTTAGAATCCTGCTGCACCGCAGACACAGACGCTCCTGTCAAATCCACCTGATAAGAAGAATGCAACAGTGGTTAAGGGCTTTTTCATTCTTCAGACAACAACAAAAGGCGATTTCACAGCACTGCATTAAGTTTGAACGACCTGCAATAAATTCGTCTTTAACAGCTCATTGTGACTTACCGAAACCTTTTTTACGGTTTTAAAAAGACGAAAAAGACCGTTTTAGAAAGATTGTTCCATCGAGACCATGCTAGATATAGAGTTAAAAAATTGCCCGTTCTGTTTCATAAGTGGTATTATAGTCGAACTGAGACTTCTCCCACGATTCAACTGTTTCCCGCAGAGTTCCGTCGTAGGTGCGTGTACTCACCCCCACCCACACTTCCGTGTGCACACATTCTTCAAAATCGCAAATAAATACGTTATACCCACGGAACAATTTATCTCCTGTACACCTTCAACCCACAATGGATTGTGCGTTAATCGAGCATTATACATGACAGATAAAGGCTCATGGGAATGACTGTCGAGACTGAGGACTGGGAATGCAAGCACCACAGCACTGCACGACACCAGCGTACAGACATGCGGGCGTTGTTGACAGGAATACACCATTCCACGGTCTTACAGTTGAGCGACTTTGCTCCCGAGTGAATAAAGTAAATGCGTGCAAATACGTATTTAACGTCTTCTTTTACAAGGGACTTAATTCATCGCCCTTCACGCGCTGCTGTATGCAGGCACGCACTACCACTTTTACCTGTCATCCGGATAAAGTATGTCCGGGTCGGCAGATGGCATGTGCGCTGGCTGACGCACCTGTCAGTTAGTATTGCTTACCATGCCCCTACCCCTTTAACGGACTCAAGTGGATCTCTACAGCCTCCAAACCTTGCAATGTGGTTAAGTAGGAACCGCTTGTGACTTTGATGCCTTAGTTTGAGGTAGACCAGAAAATCGCCACTACAGGTGCCTTCTCGTCTCTGGTGTTAGCTCAGACTGCCCACTTGGTCTGTAAATCGATGCCAGCCATGGATGGCAATGGTGACCTCTGCATTAACCAACCACGCTATTTTCTTGCTAAGTATGCGGTCAGTGTTTCTAATTTCACCTGCTCTTACGATAAAACTCACCATCAGAAACAAAATCCATTTTACTTCTAATACATGCTATAAAACAGGCAATTTGATTGACGAACAGTTTTGATTAGGCTCTTGAAGCTGTTGAAAAAACAAAGAACTGCATAAAGAATATTCAAGTACTTGCTATATTGGGAGAATTACAGTTACAATCTGTTCATTAAA